AAATCACTATTTAACGTACCCTTTTTAAAAAAATAATAATAATATATACATTGAGATACAAATAGCATTACTCCAAGAAAATAGATCGAAAAGTAAGTTACAAATTTTATAATTTAGGAACAAACTGCGCAGTGTTTCCTTTAAACTATATAGAAGGCAATATATGCACCATCGAGCCTAGTTTTACTGTCACGAACATGCTTCCGTTCACTGCTCTTTAAGAATACTTTAAAGTAAATTGGAAGACGACAACACAATTTCTATACGTCGTCATATTATACCTTGTTGTCTTCCCATTTGCTAATATATCGAGATGTCAAAATTTAGCCCCCGTTTGGTGTAGATTAAAATCAAATTTTTAGTAGATTTTGATAAAAATTGATAAAATATGTGATTGAAAAGTTGTGAATTACATCAAATATATGATTAATATTAAATTATTGACTTTGACTTGAGATTAAAATTAGATTTTAATGAGAACCAAACAATCGCTTAATTTACGTTCATTTTGGCTATGCTCATTCAAACAGCAAGACTTCGCTCCGGATCCTTTATAAATATTTTATTGATAAGACCGCCCATGGTATTATAGTAGAAAGTTGTGGGTTACAAGTTAGTTCCAACTTTCATGTGGTTGGATATCGTATTCGAAAATAGAGTATATATAATAAGGTATAGAGTTTTATAAATAACGAGTCCCTAAGGTAGGGATTCCCATGTGGTGGGGTGGGTCCCACGTTATTACATGTGATGTATGCCATACATGTTGTGCGTACAAATAACGCCTAATCGAAACCAAAAGTCAGTAAAGATAATAATTATGGTTGTAATTCTCCATGTTCCATCAAGTATCAACATAAGAAAGTGTTTTTTAATCATATTACATGTACATCATTTTTTACAATATTGTATCACGTGACAGCGCATTATTGAACCGTTTAAAAAAAATGGCTTTTTACGCCTACAATTTTTTAAAACATGGGTGATTCAACCAAAGTGTACATTAAAGAATTTACACATAGCATTATTGAACATTTTTTTATTGATTAGAGAATACAAAAAGGATTGATCAA